AGGCAAAACAGGCTACCAAAGGAGTATTTGACCCCTTGTCATGCCAGCGTTACCTTTTTCTTTTCTTTTTGATGTACAAGTATTAGATACGTAAACGGGATATGTAGGTCAAATATCTGAACGATTTTCAAACATTCTGCACAGGTGTGTTGTATAAATCACAAGATGTGAAGTTAACTTCGGATGAATTCCTCTAACTCCTTGATCAAACATTTAATGATTGCTGGTGCACTTGAACAAACACTAACCAAACACACAAAACGAGTGCCAAGAACGTGGAATATAAATCAGTGAATACAGTACATTAAATATGCAAAATCAGATGAATATGCTGACCACAGAAGGTTGCTTCAAGCGTAAACAGCAGCAGGGAATTAAGATCATACTGTGGCCTTATGGTTATATGTTGTTTGTTTGTTTTATTTAGTGATCACATACAATAAATCCACATTACAATGATAACATGAACAATTACATTGGTTTCCCATTCATTTCATTACAAGATGCGATTTATTTATTGATATTTATTATTTTACAATTGTGTGATAATGAAGGTAAAGCATCCATTAAAGGGGAACTCAAAGGTCGTTACAATTTTAGAAAAGTGCTACTGGAATATGGACAAAAGTTGTATACAGGGCTTTTTGTGGCTCCAGAGGGAAGCTGTGTGTAAAACAAAATTGCCTCAAATGATGTCACATGAGGGTCAGTGTCTGTCTTCAAGTCAAACTTTTGACAAGTAAGAAGATGGTGTGGCGCCTGGATTGGCTCAGTCAGTAGAGTGGCGACCCATATACAAAGTTGCCGCAGCGGCCCGGGTGTCTGAATCTCAACCTGCGGCCCTTTGCTGCGTGTCATTTCCCTCTCACTCTACCTCCCTGTCTATCTACAGCTGTCTCTAATAAAGCCAATAAAACAAAAATATAAAAAAAAATGAAGAATGTGTGGAATTGTTGCTTCTGCTGGATAGATCTTGATCCTTTATTTTTTTTTTGATAATTTATGTTCATCTCAGGTTTGACAATGTTATTTTGTAATTGCAGGATTGCAATGCTAATGTCTTATTAATCTTATAAAGGTCTAGTGTGTAACATTTAGGGAGGATCTATTGGCAGAAATTGAAATATATCATTGTTATGTTGGAGTCCAACCATGGTGAACCACATTTTTTTTTTTGTACAGGCTAGCCCAGAAGGAACGTTTTGTGTCCACTGTAGTTTTTCCTCCAGAAACAGACTTTTCAGCCTCCATTATCACACAATGACAATTATTTTGAGATGCTACACCTTGCTACTATGCTGACTCATTACTACAAACATGCTTGACTTTAAAAGCTTGTGCATGAACTGGAACAAGTGGGAAAACATTGCAACAAAAATAGATGGCAGACGTGAAGTACACATTATTTGTTGTAATTTATGTAAAACATGCAGAGACACTTGTAGGGTCATTAAATCTGTAAACAATAATCCTGGATCTAACCTCTTAACAGTTTTTCAAGACCAGTTTGAATGATCTGAAGAGCACTGTGCACTCCACGGTGCTCCATGTGGGAACATATGAGAGGTTTCTGTTTAATAGAGACTACCAGGCTCCAAATCAGCAGGAGGCTGGGAGGCTGCAAAAAATGCTTTTTAAGATTACATCTAAATTTCCTGTTGCTCTCAAGTGCCACACTCATCCCACACCTCTCATGCCGTTTCATTTCATATCTCAGTGTCTCATCTCGGAGCATCTAACAACGTAAATAAAACAGCTGCTCAGATCCTCTGCCGTCTGCCCTGTCTGCCACCCCACTGCTAACACATTACTCACCTGAATAATGCATGATGGGAAACAGGAAGTGGAGGTGTCAGTGATTACACCATCCCAATTGAGAAGGCATGACCTTACTCTGTCCCCCCTCTCAGTCTTTTCCTTAATGCTCCCATTCCTTTTTTCTTTCTCCGCTACCATGCCAGCCTTTCTGTTCTTTCATCCTTTCATCAAACTCCACCCTTGGTTTCAGATCTAATCTATTTAATATATCTTCCATCTACCCCTCCATCATTTTCATCCCTGCATCCATATCAGGAGGTGTTCAGATTGCTGTAAGTCAGACAAGTCCCAGCACAAAGCAGCTTCACCAATGTGCTGGGTTAGCTCGTCATGTCCAGTCACGCATAAATCTGCACACACACACAAACACACACTCACAGGAAAAATTAAATGCTACAAGGCAAAATCTTAAAATAGTTAATTCACTTCAGATATTAAGTCAGACACAGACAAATCAGATGTGTTTACGGTCATGAAATTAGATTTTGCACAACAGTATTGTCAGAGGAAATCTCTGCAAAGTTATTAGATGTTAAACAGTTCAGTAGTGCATTTCATATTCTCATTTTATTGAATGTTGTGTTTTGCTATTTAGCAGCTGAAACACATCAATACTTAGTTAAGCTCAGTACATCTCTTGATCAATCTGACAACATGATTTCTGTTGCTGCTGGTGTCTCTGAGTTCTGCATAATTGCATTATTCTCGCTCTTTTTGGGTTTCTGTTGTTCTTTTGGTTTTTTTTGTTAGTGTGTGTGTGTGTGTGTGTGTCTGCATACAAATATGTAAATAACTCAGTATGCCAGGGTGTGTTTGGAATCTGTAATAAAGTTAACATGTATAATCAGAATTGCAGAACAATTTGGTACTTTGCTTTAACATGTCATGTATCTTCCTCTCTCTGCCTTCCTAACCCTCTCTCCTTTACCCACACAAACACACACACACATATACATACACACTTTCTTACCCTCTTACCCCCTCTTCCATCTGCCCCACAGGTCGATGTGTGTGACACTTGTGTTCAGTACGAAGGGTCAGCGGTACCTGCGGGTGGGGTTGGCTGTACCTCTCTTTGGTTCTTTGTCCTGCCTGAGAGCCATGGTGGCAGAGGAGGGCAACATCTCCCCGGACCAGGTACACACACACACGCACACACACACACACTCTTTGGAAAAAGTCTATTAGAATTATATAATTAATTTGTCCATAAATGCCAAAATGTTCCTGTATCTTAAAGGGGAGGATTTGCTGCTTTGCTCTGTTTTATACAATTTAAAATAGCTTTTAGACTCCTGATGGGACCTCAGAGGCAACCTAAATACGTCACCTTGGGCTAATAATTTTGACTGACATTTTTCACAATGCCAAAAAATTAATCAATAACAAAAATAATTGTTAGTTGCAACCCTGCGCTTTCTTGAATTCCTTGTTGAAATGAAGAATTGTTTCCTTCTACTGTATAACAAGTTTTTAAAAAAAAGTCCAATGCTATTACTGCAACCATTTATTTGAAAGTGAAAACAAAGGACAATCCAACCAAAAGTAAAATAGATTAAAGTTCAACCAGAAAGTAACTCTGCAAGATCTAATAGATGTTTACAACTGTTGGGTAATCATTCTTTTAACATCCACCTGTGGTTTCACTTTCACATATGTAGTTTAAATAATATACATATGGTTAATGATGGCTTCACGAGAATAATAGCCAAAACTGTAATACATAAAACCCAGATAAAAACAAGAAATCAAACAGAATTCTTTATTATAGCAGGGTAACACTTGAATGCATGCATACACTTAGCTGAAATGTCACCAACAAGAGAAAGGGTACAATAAAAGGTTCCAGAGGCGTGTGTTCATCCATCTTTCACCTGCCCTACGACTGATGATGAAAACTGCTGGAGTATCTAAGCCTGCGTCCACACCAGCAAGAGAGTAAAGGGGTAGTAAAGACTCAAATGTACCATGAAATGGAAAATACCTTTTTCATGTTTCATAAGTGCACTGCCCCACTATCTATTGTTATAGAACATGTAATGTATGCATTTAAGTCGCAAAAAAATCTATTTTGAAATACACAGTAAAGTAATATCCATTACTTTGGCCCTCGGTGTAATGGAGTTGAGAGAGGGATGAGATGAGTCGGGAGTGTATCTATGTTCTCATGGTCCTATGTTCCTAACCCTAGACCTGGGGAACATAGGAGCCTGGGAACATGGGACCAATTGTCATGTTCCCATTATGTGCCATATAAATCTGGGGAACTTAGGACCCTGGGAACATACGAATGGGGATGCTCTTAATGTCTTTGTTTTAGAAATAGAAGCTTTTAGTATTCTTGTACAATTTAAGTTCCCTGTTGACTTGTTTTTCCATTTTGAATTCCTCTGGTTTCGTGATGAGGAAATTCATTTCAGTTCACAGGGTGAGATTTTCTTGTTCTACCCACACAGGTGTTTTCACTTACTTGGCTGATTAGACCTCTTCTCAGGGCCGTGTGCGGGTGTAGACACTACAGTGCTTAATTAACATCTCCCACACTTTTCTGTTAGTTTTGGCGCATTTGTTGGGCTAGGAAAATGTACACTTTTATCACTCTTATTTTGCCTGTGGGTTTAGTAAAAGCAAGTCACAGGACAGAGACACACACACACACACACACACACACTAAGTCTGTCATCACCTCAAAAAGCTGTAGAGCAGACAGCTTGTTTGGTGTTTTTTATCTGTATCCATAACTCTGACCCTGTACATTTAAGTATATAAAGTATATTTTGTGTGTGTGTGTGTGTGTGAGAGAGAGAGAGAGAGCGAGAGAGAGACCTCTATACTAAATTACTCATACCACATTGATCTTTCTAAGCATCTACTAACCTCCTGAGTCTGTTTTCAACTGTGACATTAATTCTCTTACGATCCTTTTCATCTCTTCTCTCTTTTTCACCCTCTGAACCCCAAGCGGTTTCTGGGCGTTTTTTGCTCCTGTCACATTTTTACTTACTGTGGGCTTGTCTTTTACTCTCTCTCGTGCGCGCACTCTCTCTCTGTTCATTTTTTGCAAACTATTAAAATGAGAGATGAATTATATAATAAGCAATAAAGTGATTTTGATAAAATATCACATATTTAACTTGACATGTTGTTACGCTCATGATTTGTTCAGGGACCTCTAGAAATTTAAAAACAATCATTTGTTTCATCGTCAGTTTCTGGCTATGGTGTTATTTTGGTGATTTTTTAAAGAAAATATTTGTTTCAAACCCGCCAGCATATTGGAGGGTTCAGTACTAATATATAACATGTATCAGACCTTTACAGCTTGAAACATACAAACATGATGTTGAATTAAGTGTCCCCCAAACAAGTTGTCCTGACATACAAAAATAACATTAGTCTGTTACACCATGGCCACTTATCACAGTCTGTGTTTAAATCCTCATCCATTATTATAATTAAACTCTTCTGTTTTGCCCGTGAGAGTTAAATTATAATGTATCACAATTTAGAAGTGCTGTTGCCATGGTTTCCTGCAGTTTAATAATCATTTTACACAGATTCTGCACTTTAAAACACCTGCCTGTCAATGACAAACAAATTTGCTGTGGTCATGGTATAAGACACATAAAACACAAATAAATGAAAAGAAAACCTCTCAGTCTGCACTTCTAATACTAACAAAAACTAAAAGAATTCAGCATTGTGAATTACACAGCTCTCCTTACTTAATACAATTTCTGTGTCATTGTCAAGGCTCTAAAGATCTGGACTTAAATATGAAACTAGGAAATACACATCTCAAAAATTTGTTTGTTTTGGTCTTGTTTGAGAAATTTCTTTTAGTCTTTTACAATATTCTCTATATGATTTAATGCAGCAGCATTTAGAGTTTACTTTGATTTCTTTGATTACAAATGTATCTAGTTTTATTTCCTCTCATAATTTGACTGAATACTGTACCATTGTTGGTTTATGTCTGTCATCCATCTATGTGCGTTATGAAATAGAGTCAGTTCTGGCACCACTGCAGCTCAATGTTGTCTTTTTGTACATAAATAGCACGAGCCACCAAATGTTGGTAAAAATATGTAGATAGATTTGCTTCAGCAACAGCCAAAAACCAATGGTAATCTATTGAGCGGCTGGTAACATTTGAACATTAACTAGCCATTTGGCCAGGGGACAAAAAATAATTTGTTGTCTGTCTGTCTGTCTGGTCTTCTGCTCTGTCTGGTCTCTCTCTTCTCTCTCTCTCTCTCTCCTCTCTCTCTCCCTCTCCCTCTCCAGGTCATCCTGTCCGAGTTGTATTCCACAGGTTTCCAGCGTTCCTTTTCGGATGATGATGACCTCACCGCTATTGCTGATAGCGACGTCGTCTACGCCTTTCAGGCTCCTCCCCCCTATAGTCGTGGAGGCTCCACCACACCACACTCAGGTAACCATGGTAACAGGACATCCATCAAAAACACTGACTTCCCACACTGATTTGGTTGCTTTTTTTTCTCCTTCCTAATTTCCAGTTTTCTCTTTTGAGCCTCCCTCTGTCCTCTTGATCAACATTTATTCACACTGATTCACACTTTTAACTTTTGTGTTTCATTAACTGTATTTTTCACAGGCAGTGTGAAGTTACGTTGTTGAGAAAAGCACCAGTGTCTGCAATGTGCTTTGTATCCCTCTTTTTCATTCTGTTTCTTTATGCATGATAGCGCTCAAACAAATTAAATTAAATGCCATGTCTGAATGCCTGCCTGGTGCATCAAATCATCCTGAACAAAAAGTTTGAGTAATGTCTCACCAGGATGTAATAATGTAAATAATTAGTCATCAGATTTGGCCAAATATACCATTTCACTCCGTTATCTGAATGCCAAATGGTCAAATTTCCCTTTTTTGAATGTTCTCTGGCTCTTGCTCTCCCGTTCATGTTTTGTTCATGAGGTGACAGAAGAGCTCTCTCTCTTTACACTCATAAAGTAGAGAAAGGTATAAGATTGAGTCAGTCTTGCATCATCACCGTCCTTTAAAAAAACCTTTTTTTGTCTGTGAAAGACTGCAGAATGCACTATTGACTTGAGAATGAGTATAATGACACACAAACATGCACACTTGCTGCTTTGTAGAGCAAACTGGCTGGCTGAGTGTTCTATAAAGCCCCTTTGAGAAATGCACTTCACCCTATAAATGTTGTTAAATTCAGTATGTTGGCATGTTTTTAAAAGAACCCACTGGTAACTCCTCCTACGTTATAATTTAGTTACATTAACTGATACTGGCTTTAATATTGATTAAATGATTAACTGATACTAGTTTAAACATTAAAAAACTGTTGTATAATGTCTTATGTGGACTTTTGTGGGCTTGAAGACAAATACATTTAACATAAAGAGAGTTACAGATAGGGGTTGTGTGGTTGTGGTTAAATTAGAGTGTTTACCAGGCAGGTAGGAAAAGATACTATTGTTTGCATTATGGGAAATGTTGGATCTGTGTTTTGGGAGTTTGACCCATACTGCCACAAAGTCAAGTCTTCAAATGATAACATAAGCCCTGCTGCTTCGAGTTTGAACACATTCTAATACTAAATTGTTGCTGTGGCCTTTGTCTCACATATAAGCCTAATTAGGATTTCTAATGCACAAAGGCGATTCTACCAGTGTTATCAGAGGGTATCTGCAGGTCTTGAAAAGTTTAATTAATTTTCCTCAAAAAGGCCAGAAAAGGTATTAAAAACTTTAAAATTACATTTTAAAAACGAATAAATATTTGGTTGCGGCAGTGGATTTTGCAGACAGGAGGTCGTTCCATTATTTTCAAGTCAGCATAAAACCATCAGACCTGTAGCGAACACCAATGCGATCATCTCATAATGGGCAAGTGTTGACTTTAGCAAAAACTTGGATGCTTAAATAGATGAATAATTTTTAATTGGCAAAATTTCTGCCTCTTATCAGGGTCCAGGTTGCATTTAATTAATTATATCTTATGAATTATTGGTATATGCTGTTGGCAAGGACTGAGTGATGCAGTTTTGTTTCCTCAGCGAGAACTTCACTCTAAATTTATTTATAAAAATACAATGCTGAGGAGGAAAACAAGGCTGTAGATCTCTCTTATTGCACGACCAGTGCTGTAACTGTCCTGTCACTTTTCCTAAACAGAGACCTATGTTTGAAAGCCACACAGCAGTTACTTTAACCGATCAATGTTAATGTAAGGGGTTTAACTGAGTCATATTACCGATGTGAGTGTGAGGTCATTAATAGCATTTGGGTTGCCAGTTGTGGTTAGCCTTTTGTCCACCAAGCTACTGAATGAAGCCTTTATGGGGGTTTTTGTTACCCCCGAAAAAAAACTGACATCAATAATTCACATATGTGCTCAAAGCGCTCATTAAAAATTAAGACTCTTCACTTTCTCAACAGGAGGCTTTTCTATTGTCACTTACCACAGTAAAAACAGTGTCACAGTACAGAGAGAGGGAGCAGGCACATACAATGTGCTTTCACTCACAGTCACACACAGAAACACTTGTGCTAACACAAGCAGGCATAAGCATAAACACACACATCCACTGTGTTAGTCAAGTAGGTAATGAATCCATTAGAATTACTCTGGAGAGTCTTATAAATACATGACCCTCAAGAGGAAACCTTACACACACACACACACACACACACACACAGCTACACATACAGAAATACACTTGTGATGAATCACACTTAAGTGCTCACTGGGAAATGTGACTTCCATTCTTGTGAGCAATCTGATGAAAATGATAAATGGCCCTTACCTTGGAATAATTCATAAGATCACAGCAGAGCAGATTCCAGGATATCATAACTCCATTCAATGGGATTTATGTCATGTTTTATCAAATGTAGCACATGAATTTACACAAGCATTACTGATGAGTCACGGCATGGCATTGTGGAGATAAAAGATGATGTATCGCAGAATTTTCTGCATAATTTGACCCTAGTGGGGTGGACAGTTGTTTGAAACCTCTGATTGATCTGGATTTGGCGTAGTTTTCAGATCAATTACTATGTGTAAACATGTCCTGTTGTGGAAATGTTTGGGAGAAAGTACTATGTTTAGTGCATATTTTTAATTAATTAACTCACAAGTTTGTTTATTTTAATATGTTGAATTTGTTTGGCATATTAATGTGTTAATGGTGTTACTTTAAAAGGCACAAAAATACATTTATTAAGTTAATTTTGATGAATTACTTTTGATTCATAATTCAGCAGTAGAAAACATATTCAGTAGGGAATCCACAGTATTGTTTTCTTTCACTTTTCATCTATTAGCAGTGATAGCATCATTAGGGAATAGGCTGCATGGCTTTAATTGTGTTAACCTACTCTTATTACCACCATTACCTCTTAATATAACCTGTTTATCATACATCATGAAACACCATATAAATACTATAGAGGGGGTCAAATTTGGGATTTGCTGACATGATAAATAAAACACTGGATTGACACGTAAAGATGGCAAATTTATCTCTAGCAATGATGTGTTTTTCAAAATCCAAGGGAAATCAAGTTGTCCTAAAATTTAATTTGTGTGACAGTTATAATCTTTTTCCAGGATGGTACATGGAACATGAAACCAATAGTGTACTGGCTCAACAACCCATTACATATCTCATTTCATTGGCTGATTTTTTTTTATTATTCTGTTGAGCTCCTGCAAATCTTTTTTAGTAGTTTATTTTGTTGAATTTCCCAACTGAATTTTAGCAATTCATACAGCTACATTCATTAACTTAGATCAGCATGTGGAAAACAATGATACTGTATTTTTCTCAGTCTGTGAGCAGGCAGCTGTCACCTACTGATGTCCTCCCAGGATTGTCTTTATCGTTCTGTCAAGCCACCACAGCATGACAATTTGAGGTCACTTGACAGCTGTACAGTGGTTTTAAAACAGTAGAAGAGAAATGCATCACACAACTCTGCTCAGAAATGCACTTCATGTACTGTCCTCAGACTGGGAGAGACGAGGGTGTCTGAAAAAATGTGCTTTAAACAGCAGGAGATGACAGGGAGGACTGAAACAGGAATAAAGCAAATTACCACCACATCAGAAGTTGGACATGAAGTACCAAGTTCAGATGAAGATTTTCTACTGTGATATGGGGTTCATCACCACACCTCCTTGCTCGCTCTACCTCCTCTGTGATCCTGAAAATGATATTTCTGTCACCATTTTATTGCTGCTCCAGTAGTGGAGGATACAAAGGAGGCTGCTGATGAAACACACATGTTCTTCACAAGCCAGAGGGCTTATCGGAGTTAAGAGATTGACCTCACTGCAAGGTCAAAATGACGATAAGCGCTAGCAGCAATAGCACAAAAGTGCAGGCTCCTTATTAGGGTTGTAAAATCCTGTCATATTTTTGGTAATATTTACCAGGCTCACCATCGTAGTTTAGCATGTCAGCATGCTATCATTTGCTGATTATTACTAAACACACGGGACAGCTGAGGCTGATAAGAATGTCGTTAGTTATGCAGATATTTGGTCATAAAAGTCTTTAATGAATTTTACATTTTGAGCTGCTGGTACCACTAGATGAAAACTCGGGGTCACCATAATTGTTACACTTTATCCTGAAGGGAACATGAATGCCTGAACCAAATGTCACTGCAATCCATCCAATAATTGTCAAGACACTCCACTGCAAATTTTAACCTCATGGTGGAACTAAAGGAAAGGTCAGGGGATTATCAAAGTCAGATTGATTGACCATCTGGGAACCATGGATGCCTGTATAAAATTTCTAAAAGTCCACCAAAGTCAGTTGGATTTATCCTCTGGAGACCATGAGTATCTGTGCAAAATGTCATGTCAATCCATGTATTTTAGACTGGACCAGCAGACTGACATTGCCATCTCTAGACCCACGCTGATAGCAAATATATTAAACATGGCAGATATTTTAAAAAGGACCACTCCTTCACAACTGTTAGTCAATTATGTTTGTTGGCATAAGATATATGATATTATAATGGTCTGCTTAATTGTAATATATTAAACGAACATTGTTGTAGGAGTCTTAAATTCATTAACCAGAGTGGACATTCATTGATGAATTTGTCTGAAAAACTGAACATAGCGGCTGTGGAGGCAGTACTATGACATTGATAGTGTCATATTTGACTCTTAGCAAATAAATTGTCCAAACGCCCTTGTGCATTATTTTTGGCTTGTCCTTTTCATTCCTTTTTTGTCTCCTCCTCCACATAACTTGCTGGTAGAAGAATTGTGATACTAGGCAAGGAAAGGAAGGGCGGAGGAGGCTAACACTTTGGAATGCACTCATAGTATGTACTGTGTGGGTGCATGGGGGGATTGATATGGGCCGATGAATAATTGGTCATTATTTAATAGCATGCCGAAAGGCAAAGAGAATGTAAA